CTGTCAGATTTTGTGAGCAAGATCTGCTCGATTTTTGGCACCAATTTGTAGACTTAATCAATAATAACAACTTTTGTATCAGATTTGTAGCCTTTTTGTTAACAACAGGTGATAGCAGACACTTGCATGATCTGCTTTTGACAGACTTGGCTATCTGGGTATATACCCAGCAAACATTTTGGATACAAAACCATATCCATCTGTGTCCTCAGTAGGATATGGTTTGTTAATCATGTCTGTCAACATGTGAAATGTCAAAATGTGACCAAAATGATAACAGAGTCTACCACAAGCAAAGCAAAGTCAAATTATCGCCAAACTGAAGCCAAAGTCCGGAATAGGTTTGGTCATTGTCTGTTGGCGCCAAATTGCAAACAGTCCGCACGTATACACGAACAGACCTGCTTGGCGTTTGATGGCAATCTGTCGTCAATGCGTTTAACAGATCGACCCGACTTTTTTGTCGTAAACAGATTTCTGGTACAATTTTTCGAACTGTTCGGTCACAAAGTATTGCTAAAAGCAGATCTGCTTGCAATCGTCCATCTATTTAGTGTTAATTTCACTGACATATATGGAATCGTTTTGGCTCTAATGTATTTATCAACAAAGTTGTTGCGTTTTTTCTTTCTGTGGGCTAACAATTTTGGCAGTGTTTTCGTATTGTAGCATTTCTGCAAACAGTTTCTGTTACCAAAATCTGCGCCGAAATTGTCAAAAACAGAAATTATTTGCTGGGTATATATGTATATATATATATATATATATATATATATATATACCCAGCAAACAATTTCTGCATACACATGTAACGATTTCAACTTGTAAATTTTTACAAGTAAGTATTTTTCGAAATGAAATATCAATTCTTAAATTCATACGGGATGCTGGATTTGCATTTCACATATGAGATACCACCGGATATTCCCCTAACTAATTTTTAAAATATTGCGAGAAAAACTCCTCGGCCGGAAGTTGAACCTGGAATCTTCGGCTTTTCGTGCCATCGCCTTCTCTGTTAGGCCACCGAGGCACTTGGAGGTAGTCTCGCAATATTCATACATATATCGAAAATGGTCTGATAATGTTGATAACGCTTATTTTCAGCCAGCGTAATTTCAANAATTAATAATGATTTAAGGCTTTCCAGGGTCTCTCATATGTGAGATGCAAATCCAGCATTTCGTATGAATTTAAGAATTGAGATTTCAATTCAAAAAATACTCACTTGTAAAAATGTACAAGTTGAAATCGTTACATGTGTATGCATATATGTGTATATACACGTACAGTTTCCGTTTAACATCGTGGAAACGGCACGTAAAGTCTTATATGAGTCTTAATATAATATTTTTTTTTAAAGCTAAAGAATGTGACTATTATGTAATGTATTCAATATTACATAATATGGTGTACAGTGTGTTACATTTCATAACATAATTTGCANNTCACAATGTGTCTTGGTCTCCCCTACTGACAGTGAATATCGAACCGCTGTCAAGAGAAATCATGGTTTAGTTTGGAAACGTATAAACCAGTATATACAAAATACAACGACCGCGAAAAAAATAATATATTATGTGACATTACTTAATCATATACGATGTAAACTAAGATTTAAAAAGATGTTAAACTTATATATAAACTTATATATATACTGCATAGTGTAAAAAAGTAAATATACTGTACATTTATAATATATACAACCTGTAATATAACAGTCAGAAAAACTATAAAGATAACTATTTTTCTCATGACGTTATTATTTTACACAGCTTTACGACTTGTTATTTTTTGTGGTCGATGGTGTCTCTTTGGTATANGACTAAAAGTTAGTTTATAACAGGAAAACACCTGTAGTGTGTGTTAAATTTGGTTTTATTTTCATAATTACGTTTACAAATTACAAAATCGTTGTTGTACTACAAACAATTTAAGTTCAATTTTTTAAGCTGACATGCATAAATTTTAAGTTTATTCTAAGTTCATCATAATTGCCGACAGTAATCAGTAAACAAGTCTGCGCGTCCACAGACTCACAAAATAATAAATATTAAACTAAAAGATAAAATTGTTTGTGATTGCGTTACTCCAGTTGATATGACACCAAATATCAATTGTTTACAATCAATAAGTGAATACCTAAAATTGAGTATTTTTTATGTGTTCTATAAAAATCTGTATACATTAATTTTGTTACTATTCTCTCTGAAATAATAAAACTATAAGGCTATAACTGCCTTTATTAAAATTAATAAAAATAATATAAACTTTTGTAATAATTATAATTGCAATCACAATTACTACAGTTACAAACTTATGATCTACATAATTACTTTCTTCACGTACGATAATTACAGTTTTGTTAAAAATATTTATATACTTGAAATATCAAGTACTACTTTCTCTCGAGATCTGAAACGATTTTCGTTTTTTCCTCGTTTCTTTTATAATCTATGTCACAATGACTTCGTATGAATACTCATCTTACTCATACATTTTTAGAATATCTGCTATGTGGTATACTAAAAGATGAATAAGTTTTAACATTAGGTCTTTGTAGTTCAAAGTGTTTCACGTCCTCCAGAGTTACAGAACATCCAGTTATATCCAACTCTATTAAGTTTGGTAATGTCGACGCCATAATATCGATAGCTGTTCTTGTAACTTGCGAATAATGTCTGAAAAAAAATAAAAGCATCAATATTTAAAATATTTTTGTGGTTTTCGGTTTTTAGGTTCCGATTTACCTTATATGTAATATCTTCAAATTTGTACATCTACTTATATAGCGACTAATATTTGACAACAAATAGTTTGGAAACAAATTGTTTCTGTAAGTGATTATTTCTTTATCGTTCTTTTCGGCAAGACGATTCTAAAGCAAAAGAAAGTCTATTATCATCTAATGCGCAACAAGAAATTGATAATATTTATTAAAATACTTGTGTATAATACATGCAAGCATGTATGTTTGAGAGGCAAAACTAAAGAACACAAAAAAAGTGGAAGATATACTTCTATTGTACATAAAATGTATAAAGTTCCTCATCAAACCGATACAAAGACATGTAGTCTCCGTAATAAAAGTTTTCTAACTCTTTGAAAAATTCATTTGATGACAATTTGTCCCTAAAATATTTAGGACATTCTAGATACAGTTCTTTTAAAGATTTAACTTGACAAAACCATTCAATTATCTTATCCGTTACTAATGTGTTTCGAAAGTCTAGAATCTATAAAATAAAAAAGAAAAAACACGTTTCTAGAAAAGTGTGATTTTCGCAGGGAATTAGATGAAATGCAGAACTATTACTGTCCTAAAATAAAAAATACCTCTAGCTTTTGGCAGTTACAAGAAACAGTGAATAAATCTGTGTCTGGACAAAAGTCCTGTATACGAAAACATGAAATTACTTCAAGTTTCTGAAGTTTTGTAAGATTACATATACTTGTCAAAAATGTCGATTGCTGATCCCACAGAACATATTTAATTGTCAAGTACTAAAATTTATATTTGGAATACAGTATTGTATTGTTAAACACAATATGTGTGTGTATATATATGATAGAATACACTAAATATATAAAGATATGTAAAATATGTGTAGAACAACAACTTACTTTTACGTAGGGTACGAACCTACATATTCCAGGAAAAAAAGTTGGCAAAAGAAATTTGACACAATGAAACTTACCATCTGCTATACAATTTTTGAATTCAAGGGTCTCAAGAGTTGTTAACATCTCTGACGTATCCTAAACCAATTTTAATAAATTGCCATGGATTTGTACAAAACTATGGAAAAGAAGTTTTACTAGATGTATAATATGTTATACACACATAAAGTGTGACCTCCGTAATACTATTATAAAAATGTCACATATGCTTCGATAACTATAATTTTTACAGATATATGTAATAATATATTACATTATTATTATTATTATTTTATATATAAGTAAACGGAACAAACTGTAATTACGTAAGTCATAACAGTTTGTGTGAGTGGTAGTCCGTATTTTAAAAAATGTGAAAGTGCATCGTATAAAATCTTTTTACGTACTGTAGAAATATTTTAATAAAAAGTAATATATACCTGAGGAAGGAATTCCTTAGGAAAGAATTTCGTAGGAAAGAATACCTCAGAAATCCATTTTGTAGGAATATAATACTCTTCAATAATCAATTTGCTAAGCATTCTGCATATTTTTAGTAATTTAAAAAAAAAATAAGGTGGAAGAATATTTTTATTGCCATGTTTGAAATCTCCACGTATTGCTAAGCTGTATGTTAATGGTTTTAAGAAAGTTTTATACGGCTCCATTCGAGAAGGAAATATAGGTGTTTTGCGATAGTCCAAACTCCATAAAAGTTTATCTGCCGCTAGTCTTGCAAATCTTGTGCAACATCTATAATAAATAAATTTCAACAAAACTTATTTTGAAACATATATAAGTATATTATTTTAACAAGAAGCGATTGATATTATTTCAAATGATTATATATAGTTTGGCGAACTGTCACCCAAGCAGTACGTATACTAGTAAGCCTGAAAGATACAGTTTGTCAACTACAGCAATGTCGTACTACTGTCGCTATCTACGTATTGTTTCGGATATTTATCTATCACTTGCTTCACATAAATAAAAAAACTTACAATCGGAGATTATTCAAATCGTTTAGGTCTACATTTTTGAATATACGAAAAAGAACTTCATCTGGGAAGTCAAGAATATTTTTTGTTGTTTGTTGTTCATTTGTCTTTTTGTCTTGTATCGGCACATCGTGGTTGTGCTGTTTTGTTTTATCACTTTCTACTTCAAGGTCTACCTTACTGTGAGATCTGTTTCTAGGTTTGCCTTCAAAAGAAGTCGAAGGGTTGTTCTGATTCATTTTTCGTTCTTTTTTGTACTCGTATACGAAAACACTTAATACTGAAAAAAAGAAAAAAGAGACAACTTTACATCTACAAATTCGAATATCATTTCGTTTGTGATATGGTTACGTTTAGTACTAGTAATGGCGTTTGTGAAGAACTTAAAGTTCCGATATGTTCTCAAAAAATGTAACACACGTGTATCTTATTTGTCTTATAGCTGAACACAATGCCGTAAGTCCGACATATAAACTTTCTTTTTGAATTGTAACTGTTATTTCCACAACTTCTTATTTCAGTTTATAGTGTGCTATTTTATCTTAGTTTTATTATCTTTGTTTATCTTTGAAGGGTCTTCTACAATAAGATATTAGTAATAAATCAGAAGTCAGAAGCAAGAAATTGACCAATCACAATCAAATCACAGAAGAATAATTGATTGTGATTAGTCAATTTCTTGCGTCTGACTTTTGATTTAGCACTACTATCTTATTGCAGAAGGACCTTAAAGCCCCTTGCACAATGGAAGGAATAGCAATAGCAATAGAAATAACACAGTTTTTAACACAGAATTCCAACTCGTCGGAAATTTTATCGCTATTGCTTATTCCGATTTTCTGATCTGCATTGATACATGTGTAGTTTTGTATGTTAGATTCCGCTGTTCCTACCTTTATTTTGAAATATAAACTCTTTAAAACTTTTATTATTTCTATCGTTATCGCTATTCCGTCCATTGTGCAAGAGGCTTAATTGACACATTACTTACGTCATACTGTGAATGTGTGTCAAATAGAACTATAGATTCCTACTTTTCCTACTCACAGTATTTTCGGTGTAATAAAGAATTACAGCATCTTTTCTATTTGAAGCCTATATAGGGTAGATATTTATAATTTTACGATGAAAAAAAAAAAGACAGAATAAGTTATACATGTGCGGTGACATCTGTACCAGAGTATTCACGTATGTAGGTACAATATTATCACACAGTTTGAAGATACTTTTATAAACATATATTCGGCAAACTATTCCGCTTTTGTCTATATTCTCGTCAAACCTTAAAAATTACTTTTATTATATTCGAAAAAACAAAATACTAAATGACATTGTACGCGCTAGTTGTTTTAGTAAACGGATTCTTTAAATATCAAAAGAATAACGTAAGTTTACTTGATAGTTGATTTTCAATAAACAAAAAATTGTAAAAAGCGAGCTTTTAATCGCGAACAGATTATAAAAATATTTTATTGTTTATAATAGTGTTTAATATATAATAAATTTGCATAAGGACTGTAAAAATACAGAACTTACGATAAAATGGATAACTGGTATATTTACGACCCTTACTTTGACGCGCCACAGTAACCTAGTATTATTTATGTAAATTAGTAATACAGAAAAAGGCAATGTGCTTTGTATCTTTTACATTAAAAAACTTGTAAAAAACACTTGTAGAATACATGGTGCAGTAATCGTTTATTGTAAGTTATATTATAAAATAAAAGTTTTTCTGGTTTACATACGACTGTGTGAATGACTCGTAAAGTATTCGTCATCATATCGTGTTGTATAGATCGAAACAGGAATATATACATATATAGATATATACAGGGTGTCCGTAAAATTTTGACCAAGCCAAAGTATGAATATAGATTGAGTCAAACTGAATAAAAAAGTTAGTTACCATTTTGCAAAATTTGCAAAAGTCAACGAGATACAAAGTAATAAATGTGTGCCAATGAGCGCGTAAGAATAAAACATTAAAAACTTTGCAACTTATCGAGCAACGTTTCTTATACGTTTCTACGAAGTCGGACCGCAACTTAAAAAGCGGACATTTCAACGTTTCCGCTACGTTACTACGACGTTTTAGAGACTTTTAACGGAACGTTGCTAAATTTCAGAAAATCCGTTGCAAAAAAGTCTGTGCTACTACCGATACTATGTGGTTATTGTCTATCTCGTTTTCTGATCTGCAATGATACATGTATATTTTCGAATGTTAAAGTTCGCTATTCTCACCGTTATTTTTTATTATGAATTTTATAAAGCCGATGTTATTTTTAGCGCTTCCGTTATTTCTTTGCATTGCGCAAGCGGCTTCACAGCGACACAGGGCGTTCTTTGTGTACTGGCGCTCCAGTAGGAGTAAGACATACAGTGATTGGCCACTTAAGAGGATGCTGAACCGCTGGCAAAAGTCCACTCAATCGCCTACTCAATCGCTACGCTATCGGGTAGGTGAATCTCTTAAGAGGATGCTGAACCGCTGGCAAAAGTCCACTCAATCGCCTACTCAATCGCTACGCTATCGGGTAGGTGAATCTCTTAAGAGGATGCTGAACCGTCCTGTTTTATCATAAAAATAGTAAAATGTCTGAATCATGACTTTTGTCAAATGTACTGCACAAATGAGAAAACGGTTCTCCACAATAAAAGAAAACAGTGTAATAAGTCCCGCCAGATAATAAATGTTTATAAAACGGAAAAATTTTTTTTTAAGAAAATTGACTACCTTACATTATCAAGTATGTCTACAGATTTAACAGTTTATATGTCACAAAACACACTTTGGCACGCTAGATATAACCTCTAAGAATATTACAAAAGTATTAAAAAACACTTTGAACGCTTGCAGGAAGAGAAAGTATTGAACCAGTAAATTGTAGACACAAAGGTTATTTTTCTTGTCAAAACACTGCACGAAGCACTACGTAGTTCCCAAACTTTGCACCAGAAGAGAAAGACATATGTTTATCCTTGTCTCTTTTATGTTATCTATCCTTGTTTTTGTTTGATTCGATCCCGAGAGATGGCGCCACCTACCCGATAGCGTAGCGATTGAGTAGGCGATTGAGTGGACTTTTGCCAGCGGTTCAGCATCCTCGTAAGGAAAACTGCACTATATAGAGTGAATTATAAAATTACATTTAATAACTTAAAGTAAATTTTCAGTATTACTAGCTCAAACAAACTATAACAATTGCAAATAAAATAATAAATTTATTAGAAAATTTGAAAAAGTATTCAAAATTTGATAAAATATTTCCTATAGTCAAAATAGACAGTTATTGGCCATATGAGTTCTGTTAGTATCTGTTTACATAACAGTTAACATAATAAATTTTTTGTTTTGACTTATGAAGATATAGTAATGAATATTTTATTTATAACACATTAAAAACTAATAAACCTACTTACATTTGTATCTATAACTCAAAATAAGAGGCCAATGGCTATCACATGGTTTTCATAACCTTAAAAACAGTGATTGTCCAGTTGGCCAATGTTTGTCGTATAACAATAAGTTTTTGAGCTTCTTAAATACTATAATATTACTTTTATTCGGAGCAGAAGAACTTAATTAATATTAAAATGTTTATAATTTAGAATATAATAATAGTATTTATTTATATTTATTACTTCTTTAATTCATGGCCAATTACTGTTGGGAGGCCAATAACTGTATTGTTTATCCCTAGTCGGTGTTTTTGCGCGTTCATTCAATTTCCGCAGTTCGGTGCCTACCCTCGACGGCACCATGTTCAATATTTCTTTGCCGGTCAATATTATTTTTAGTAAGAGCCTTAATATACTTGTCGCGTGTCACCACGACACGCAGTAGCGCGATAGTCGAAATGTATTCTTTAAAATAAATGGATGATCACATTGCGCGATTGTGTGATGATTACTGACAGTGAACATCGAACCGCAATCAAGAGTAATAATATGGTTTAGTTCGGAAACGTATAAACCAGTATATTCAGAATACAACAAACGCGGAAAGAAAATATATATTATGTAACAATACTTAATCATATATATGTTTTAAACTAAAGATTTTAAAATTATATATATTGTATAAATTTTTAAATTATATATACTGTATATATATAACATATACAATCTATAATATAACATCATATATGTAATACTCCTATATTGCTAGTCGCGTATCTTCGCAATGAGAGGCACGAGGCCCGAGAAAGGGAGACGCACGAAGTCCAAATATGGGCATAGATAGTCGAGCGTCATTATGCGCAGGCGCATCTACTAAGCGAGTGCGAGCGAGCCAAAGCATTGGAAAGAACGCGAGAAAGAGAAATGCCCAAACGTGCTTGAATGTTCACCGCATGCGCACAAAGCAGCTGGAGAGAGAGGCTACTATATTGTCTGCACTGTAACGGTNAGCTTCAGGTCGGCACCGTACTAGCAATATAGGAGTATTACATATATGTATAACCAGAGAGAAGCCTAAGAGCGGCCAGGTCCATAAGAGAATGTGTAATCACTTTTCCGCCCCGTAAACTAGCGCATGTCCACGGGTGGTACACATTGGAACTACGCAGCCAGTCCACGAGCGACATGTCGGTGCGCTATGTCCACAGCGTGCGGTTCTATTCTGTGCTATGTGCACGAGTTTAAATGGTCACTTTCTTTAAGAGGGTCCTGGACCTTCCTGTTATTACCGATCGAACGAGCAATGCGTACTTTACACTATTTTTCGTAATTATTGCTCGGATAGAAAAACGGCTCTACAGAATTAAAGAAAATAATAAAATGAATGGCAGACACTTTTCAATATATC